TAGATGTAGATGTAGATGTAGATGTAGATATAGATATAGATGTAGATGTAGATGTAGATGTAGATATAGATATAGATGTAGATGTAGATGTAGATGTAGATATAGATATAGATGTAGATGTAGATGTAGATGTAGATATAGATATAGATGTAGATGTAGATGTAGATGTAGATATAGATATAGATGTAGATGTAGATGTAGATGTAGATATAGATATAGATGTAGATGTAGATGTAGATATTGATATAGATATAGATGATATAGATATAGATAAATATAGATAGAGATAGAGATAGAGATATGGATATAGATATAGATGACATAGATATAGATATAGTATAGGTATAGGTATAGTTATAGGTATAGGTATAGGTATAGGTATAGGTAATCAGTGATGGCGAACCTTTTGAGCTCGGCGTGTCAGCATTTCGAAAAACCCTAACTTAACTCTGGTGCCAAGTCACATATAGAGTTTTTTTGATATTTGCAACCATAGTAAAACAAAGACTTACATTTTTGATATTTATTTTATATATTTAAATTCCATTTAACAAAGAAAAATCAACCACAAAAATGAGTTCGCATGTCACCTCTGACACACGTGTCCTAGGTTTGCCATCACTGACCTAGGCAGAGGCTCAGGGGGCACCCCCACACTCGGTGGTGCAGGCAGAGCCTGGAGTGCTGGGTGAAGGCATTTGAGCCAAGCTGAGCACACAGGTGGGTGCTGGAGATGTCACCTGGAACTAGCCAGTTCCATCCAGATCCTCCAGCAAGAGACGATCTTAGGCCCACAGCCATCCTAACGATTACTCATTCCTCACAACGCCTGTCACCAGGGCCTTTCCCAGCCCCCTTCTATGTGAGGAACTGAGGCACAGAGAGCAGAGTGCCTTGTCCAGGGCCACACAGTCTGTGCTCCCAGAGGTTTCCATGGGCAGTTGGGGGCCCTAGAGGGTGGTAGAGCGGGGACGTTCCTCTCCAGACCAGCCTCACCATCAATGCCCCTCAGGGAGGCTACTTCCCTGAGAATGTCAAGGCCATGACCAGTCTTCGGTGGCTGAAGCTGAACCGCACCGGCCTCTGTTACCTGCCAGAGGAGTTGGCTGCCCTGCAGAAGCTGGTAAGGAGCTGTCAGTGGGCAGGGTGGGTACCGTGGGGGCTGGGGCAGGTGGACAGAGCAGTCCAGAGGAGATGACAGAGAACGGTGTTGACAGGCATGAGCAGAGCTGGCAGAGGGAGATGCTGGGTGTGTGCGGGAGCGGGCTGTAGAGGTGGACTGGGCCCGTGTGGCCGAGGGACCCCTGAATGGTGCAGAGTCATGGTGGCAGGTGGAGACTCCATAGACACCCCAGCCCCCCACTGAGTCCCTGCCTCTTCGTCCTGGCCCAGGAGCACTTGTCTGTGAGCCACAACCACCTGACCACGCTCCACGGGGAGCTGTCCAGCCTGCCATCTCTTCGGGTGAGTGTTGCAGAGGCCACCAAGCTTGGGAGTGGGGACTGGAGTGTAGCCAGGGGCGTGAGGGCAGGGCCAGACCCCAAGCTGGGCCATCACCCCTGCCCACCCTGAAGGGGAGAGAATATAATAATGTCCTGTGTTAAGTAGCCTCTGGGTAAAAAAGAGAAAGTATCCAAAATTCCACCTATTTGGGGCAATGACTACAATAATAACGACTGGTAGTGGCTAAGCACTATTCCGTGTGGGTTTTCCTTATAATCCTGACCTCTGCCAAGTTCACAGATGAGGACATTTGCCAGGGGTCACGGAGCCAGGCAGCGGGAGAGCTGGGGTGGGGGTTTGGCAGAAGGGGAGGTGGTCAGTGCGGCCTGCGTACACTGCTCCTCTTCATGGAGCTTCCGGTAGCCCAGAGCACAGGCTCGGCCAGACCTTTGGGGCCTCGGCAAAGGCCGTTCCCACCCAAAGCCAAACCCCGAGATGGTAAGGACTCAGGCTGCTTGAGTTCCAATCAGCTCTGCCACTTCTTGCCCCATGAATTCGTGCACCGGGCCTCTAGTATAAATATATATCTTCCTCGGGTCTAAAGCACTCCATTATGTCCATCAGCGCAACCTCCAGATATTTCTGGAGGCCACCCCCCCCCATTAATTTTTAGAGAGAACGGAAGGGAGGGAGAGAGGATATTTTTTGCATGAATTTTTAGAGCGAGTGGAAGGAAGGGAGAGAGAGAGAGAGAGAGAGAGAGAGACCGATGGGCTGCCTCCTGCACAGGCCACAACCGGGACCTGTGATCGAACCCGCAACCTGGGTCCGTGCCCTTGGCTGGGAGCTGAGCCTGCGACCCGGGAGCCATGACATGGGGGGACCCCTGGCCACCGTAGGGGGTTCTCTTTGGGGGTGACCCTTGGGGGTGGTTTTAGGCCCAGGTCACAGCTGTTGGAACCCCAACTTGTGCAGGTAAAACGGTCCTTCATTCCACCTTCTTCTCTCCTGCAGGTGGCGGTGGCTACAGCAATGATGGCTACGGAGGCTCCCACGGTAACCCCACTTCCGGGCCCCCCCAGAGGGCGGTGGGCGGTACAATTGGGGGAGTATATCCAGCCATAGCTCCCGGCTGGGCTCCCACAATGCCTTGTTCCTGGGGTCTTGGGTGTTGGTACTCTCTCTAGATAGAGGGTGTCCCAAAATTCACGCAAGAAGTAATTTTGATAGAAAACACAGGTTTATAATTAAAAATTGTAATTTTTTTATTGATTCATAAAGGAGACAGTTTAGGGTTATGTGTGGAATAGGACAACGGGTCAACGGCCTCCATGGCTTTGCTGGCACATATGCACACTTTTGTTGAAATTTAACAGCCTTTGAACATGGGATGTGTATATAGTGTATATATACAAAGGGTGTCCCAAAATTCACGCAAGAAGTAATTTTGATAGAAAACACAGGTTTGTAATTAAAAATTGTAAATGTTTTATTGATTCATAAAGTACGTAGTCTAGGGTTATGTATGGAATAGTACGTCAGGTCAATGGCCTCCATGGCTTTGTTGGAACATATACAATCTTTTGTTGAAATTTAACAGCTTTTGAACATGGGATATGTATATAGTGTATATATACAAAGGGTGTCCCAAAATTCACGCAAGAAGTAATTTTGATAGAAAACACAGGTTTGTAATTAAAAATTGTAAATGTTTTATTGATTCATAAAGGACACAGTCTAGGGTTATGTATGGAATAGGACATCGGGTCAATAACCTCCCCGGCTTTGCTGGCACAGACGCAAAGCCGCGGTCTTCATTGGTCTTCCTTGTCCCTGCTCCTGGGGCGTCATTGGTACTTGGTGATGCTGATCGAATCGAAGGGATTGACATCAAAGGGCAACAGATATTAGAATCTGATTCAATAGACCCAGTACAATTAGGCTTTTATTTTGTTGTTGTTGTTGTGAATGCTCATGCAAAATTCAAATCTTGCGTGAATTTTGGGACAACCTATATAATCTATCATATGTATGAACCTACATATGTATGTATGTATATCCATCTATCTATATAAAAGCCTAATATATTTTTATTGATTTCAGAGAGGAAGGGAGAGGGAGAGAGAATCATGGACCGGCTGCTCCCTGCTGGTTGGGGATCGAACCCGCAACCCGGGCCTGTGCCCTTGACCGGGATTCGAACCTGGACCTCCTGGTTCACAGGTCGACGCTCTAACCACTGAGCCAGGCCGGGCGGACATGGATTCATTGTGTTGTGGTTGACATATCGCTGATATATACAGTCTTTTTTTCTTACTTTTTGCTGGATTTGAATGGCTCCTATTCTGCAAAGATGGATTCATTGTGTTGTGGTTGACATATCACTGATATATACGTTCTTTTTTTTTTTTTTTTAACTTTTTGCTGGATTTGAATGGCTCCTATTCTGCAAAGCCATTGTACAGCCAGACGCATGAGAAATATGGGTCCAGGGCAGTGATGGCGAACCTGTGACACGCGTGTCGGAGGTTGACACGCGAACTCATTTTTCTGGTGGATTTTTCTTCGTTCAACGGCATTTAAATATATCAAGTAAATATCAAAAATATAAGTCTGTGTTTGACTGTGGTTGCAAAGATCAAAAAATCTCTATAGGTGACACGGCACCAGAGTTAGGGTTTTTCGAAACGCGGACACGCCGAGCTCAAAAGGTTCGCCATCGCTGGTCTATAGTTTGCTTTTAATTTTTTTTTTAAAAAAATGTATGTGTATTGTTGAAAGTATTACATATGTCCTTCCCCCCACCTACCCCC